TATGATATGAAAATCATGAATTTGAGCAAAGATCGGTTTTTATTTTATAATTTTGAAGTTTTTAAGTATCTACTAATGAGATACTTCTTTCTGTCAGCTTCTTCTTCTCTATATTTAGTTTCTAGAGCTACCGAAAGTTCTTTTGCAGTTAGCATTCCTGAGTATAGATCAAACAACAAATCACTTAGAGCATTCAGGACATTTCCTTTGCATATATAATCATTTTCTTCCCATGCTGTAATTTCTTTGGAAATCCGATCTGTAGAATTTAGATCATCGGTAGGTGTCAAGGAAGTACTTGGAGCGATAGGGTGTGGTTCTCTTAGCACATATTCTACTTTTAAGGTCTTAAGTAAGAATAGTACTTTCAATTGCCGAATAGTACTTTCAATTGCCATCGTCGGAAATTAAAGCCATCAAAACGGTCTAGTCTGACAAAATCTGGGTCAAAGCTTTAAGCAAGCTTCCAGCAGCCATCACGTTCAACACAACGAAATTATTAGATTTTGGGTAGTGGTGATGGCTGATGCGCGGTGAAAAATCTGACAGACTGTGGACAGCTTGAACTCACCGTCGATAGCTTGAACATACGATCGATAGCTTGAACAGATGACCGATAGCTTGAACTCGCGCCTGATATCTTGAATACACGACCGATAGCTTGAACACACGACAGATAGCTTGGACACACAATCGATAGCTTGAACTCATGACCGAAAGCTTAAACTCACGGTCGATAGCTTGAACTCACATCCAATAGGTCTTGTACTAACTCTCATCCAGGTAAAAATTCGACTGCACCTCCCCTAGATTGTGATAAAGTTTGGATTGTAACATAATGCTCCTAGTATCCGTCGTACTCCCGTCAGAATCGGAATCTGGGTTCGGAGGTTATATCTGGAAAAACGAAAAAGTCATAGACCAGTCGGACTCCCGTAGGAGTCGAAATCGGGATTCAGATGTTATATCAGGAAAAACGAAACACTCCTAGTATCAGTTGGACTCCCATAGGAGTCGGAATCTAGATTCGGAGGTTATACAAGGTGGCAACAAAGATCGGGATCTGGAGGCATGAGAGGAGTTCATTTTCTTCCAAGTGTTGATCACCCCCTACCCGGTACAAAATCGAGATGCAATAGGGTATCTGGTGAACACACCCGCAAGATACATCCAAATCATAAACAATCAGAGGTTCTGAGTTGCGTGCTCAGAAAACTCTCTAAAAATACAACTAAACTGATCTTACTTAAAAAGAAAATGAGACATCAAGAAGAAATTCTATGAGTTCATTTTTCTTGAAAAATACCTCAAATATCTCTTCAAAATTTTTCTGGAAATTTCCATTAACCTTACTCCCTTCACTCTCTCAAATTCATGCATCTCCATATGTTTTCCCTCTCTTGCCCAAGACTTATACAGTTGAAAAATAATATAATATAGGGAGGGTAGAGAAGTGGCAACTAAAGAGATAGACACACACATGAAGAATGTGTAATACCAAGGGCATAGATACTTGCACCCCATGCGGGGCAAGGAGGTGCGGTCATCATGACTCAGTAATAATTAAATAACAAATAAGACAAAACAAAAAGGTGGGAGGAAGAAGTGGTGGTCCACGCATACCAAAAAAGCATAATGGGCTCTCGTCAATATTACCATTGAAAAGGATTTTGAAACTCCAAAAAATTTTAAATAAAAATTAACACATTTATGGTATTTGGACTTTCATTATTGTTTTACTAGTCATCCAATATTCATCTGGTACTGCTCCAGTATCAAAATGCCGAGGCTTTCCATTCCGGGAAAAAGTTTTACGGATTAGCTTTGTCTTTGGGTCCTGACCCTTTTGGGTCTTGAGAGCCAAAAAAATTGATACGGGTTTTGATCATTAGTAATAGGACTCTTGATGTTCAAGTGCTATTTTTCCAAAAACAATGCATTGGAGATAGAAATAACAAATGGAAATTTCATGGGTTTCTGTAACGGACCAACCTATGGTTTATACAAGTTATATTTAGGAGAGAAGAAGAAAGACGTCTTGTTCGGAGCAACAAAAACTACCTTGAAACGAGGAGACTCTATAGTATTTTCACCCGTAGACTAAGCACGTCCAAATTTTTCGGACGGTGTGGATTAAAGACCGTCACGGACATAGCATGTACATGACAAGATTTTTTTCAAGAAAAAATTGTATGGGAACCCACAACTCCCGTGGGTCCGTAACAATATTTAGACAAAACTGCTACGGATATAGCTTGTGCCAAACCAGTGGGTTAAAAAATAGATCAGAGACCCGGATCGGACATCCCAAGAACCGATCCGGATTGGCGAATCGGCGAATCGGCGATCAAGGTCGGAAATCGGGTCGAATCGTTCGGATTAAACCTTAAAAAAATTCAAAAAAAATATTAAAATTCATTATAAATGTTGTTTTTTAGGAATCCAATAAGAAATGGCGGTACTACATTATTAACTTTCATTGTTTTCATCAATTTATGAATATTGAGATGTTATTTCCCAGTACGAACTTATGTTGACCATTAAATTTACATCACACAAAAGAAATCATAGAATTATTATGGATTAAGTATATAATCATGTATGGACTACAATAAAGAGTTGACTAAATAGATGAAAAATTGGCCACTAAAATCTCGAATTAACAGAAAACCCTAATCCGCTAAAAAAACCCAAATTATTACAACCTAACTAACTATAACATTATATACCAACAATATTTTATAATTATTTTATTATATAAATAATAACAAATCCAAAATATTTTATAATATCATCTAATTTAAAATGTATTATTGACAATTGTGATAACAATAGTACACTACATGATTTATAATACAAAAATTAATAAATAAAATAAAATTTTTAGTTATCAATGTAGAAATTATTAGAATGCGTACCAATTTTTTTAAATTTTTTAAGTTTCTAAAATAAATTAGTGGAATAGATTGTTAGTACTACTTAGTAAAAAGAGAGAGATTTCAAATGGCTTCATTGTATGAATATTATCTTTAAATTAATATTACTAAATTTATGTTAAAGACCATCATGTTATAAAAATAAAAAATATAATCAAACCATTTATTCTTAGGTTGTATTAAGAAATACCTTTCATTTTTTTGACTAGAAATACTTATTGTGTTATCTTTTATTTTTTTTACAAGAAATATATGATACTTGTTGATTATCTTTTTTTTTTTTTTGACAAAAGAAGAAGATGTCGTACTACATTTTTTTTTGCTTGTTATATTACTTTTTATTTTTTTTACAAGAAAAATAAAAAAATGATGCTGCCAAAGTTCATTTTATTTTTTTATGCCTTTTGTTTTATTTTTTTTGCAAGAAATACTTGTTATGTTACTTTGTATTTTTTTTACAAGAAAAATAAAAAAAATGTTGTATTATTTTTTTTATTTTTATCTTGAAAAACCTTTTATTTTTTATATTTTTTTACAACAATATTTTCTGCCTTTGTTTATTTTTTTGACAGCCAAAAATTTTTTGAGAACAAAACAACAAAAAGACACGGTATGGGGTTCAAACTCTAGACCTGCCCCTAAAAATCAGAGAGGTCAACCAACACAACCACATCGTCTAATGTGAATATATTAACATCTATAATAATATATATTCAATCGTCTTGCTTGAATGATTTTTTGTAAAAATTATCCCACATCGAAAGATAAACGTTGCTTTGTTCTCTATATATTCATGTGTAATAGATGATGCATTGCGCGTGTAGAAAAGCGATGGGACCGACATGTTAAGTGAGCTACCACGTGTTGCTCCCATGAGACGGCTACGTGTAAAAGTCGCGATTCACTATTGAGAATCGTCCGGTTCTCTCTGGACATAAGCGATTCCCAGCTTTTTCATAAGACCGACTCGATTGCAAAAAAATCCCGAGTCGAACCGGACGAGTTTGACTCGACTCGACAAGTTTTTAAACTTTGGGCCAAACCATTGTTGCAATTCGCCTACGGACATTTTTAAAGACTTGTCCCCCATTGAAAAGAGGCAAAAATAGCATACTGACGATGGCTAATTAAGACTTTTTCCCCATTGAAAAGAGGCAAAACGCACAGACGATTGCTAAGAGGCAGTGACTCGCGAGATATTTATTCTACAACCACGCTTGCAATTGCCTCATGAAAAGATCAGTCATACCCGATCTGACTATAAAGTTTTTAACGGGTGCGATTGCACAATACGGTGGTTTCCCCTTTGGAGCCTTGGAAGGCCACCAATGGTTACAGGCCAATGCGTTGCAGCCTTGCAGGGAGTGTAAGATTTCAATACTGTTTCTTGGCAATACAGGCCATGATCACCTTAGTCGGCAATGGTATGGGATGGCCAGAAAAGAGTGACCAGAAAATTATCTTCTGGTTCTTTATTATGTGATCTACATATGCCCGAAAAAAATTTTCTTTGGAGAAGAATTGAACGCTGTGATAAAATTGGGTTTTCAAGTCGATGATTAGGGCCAAATGGTATTTAAGTAGCAGACAAACTACACCAAACCACAAATTATACCATCACAGTGTAAAATTCAATAAATAACCATCTGACGTCCACAAACAGTGCAGATACAGTTTTATTTGGAACCAAGAAAGTGGGTACCTGCTCTTTTTTAACATTCTACCAATCTCCTTTTTCTCCCAGAAACATGCATGCACACACATGAAATGGGAACTTGCAAAAAACAACCTGATCCTAAATAAAGAAAAAGAGAAGCAAATTTTATCTAAATTGTGTGCTTACGAGAGTTTAGTAGCAGACAAACTACACCAAACTAAAAATCAACAAAAAAGAAAAAGAGTTCGTAAAATTCAATACATAACCATCTGCATTTTGACAAAAACTGCAGATTTAGTTTGATTTGGAAACCGCTTCATTTTAACTTTCCACCGATGACTCACTTCCTCTCACAAACAAGCATGACAGAAGTAGAGCCTTGCACGAAACAAAGGTATCCAAGAAAAGAAGAAAAAGCAAAGCCAATAATTTCTTTTAGATTTAAATCGTATGCTAATGAAAAGGGCAAGAATAGCTAAGGAATACTATCAGCAAGGAGAGCACTTGCATGGAGTATAGTCAAGAGTTTTATTAGGTTATGGCCACTGAAGTTGCACCAACAATTGATATTCCATTTGAAACGTTTTGCTTATACTAACAAACAAACTACTTTCACTTGTATATCATGCATCATTGATTTATGTGGTCACTTGCGAGCCTCGGCTTTCTTCGATTCTTTAGCTGAGACAAAGGAAAGACAACAGTTGTTAGTGAACACATGTAAACAACATCACCACAAGTGGGCTTATAAATAAGCAACGACGCAAAGGCATCGTATTAAAGATTGTCAACGAGAAAAATGGACTTAAAATGTAGAGAAACATGAGGACGCATTACCGGCCTTCTCTTCTTCCCGTTTCTTGGCAGCCTCTGCTCTCTGTTGTCGTATCAGGTTTAACCTCTCTGCAACAATGGCAGGCATCCAATGATTTAGGGGACAAAGTATAGGCATAAGTGAATGGTGTCTCAATAGGTTTTCCATAAATTATCCAATAAAAACAAAAAATAGCCAAACAGGAAAGTATATCACAGTCCAGTGGACTAGTCTATGGTACTCCCAGGCAATGTCCACCATTTGTTCCCAGTGATCGATGGTTGAATATGAACTTCAAAAGCAAATCTTCTCAAGGGCCCCCTTCCAGTTCATCTTCAACTATGCATCAGAAAAAATGGAGATGTAGCTTGGAGTATCAAATATCATAGTACTCTGGACTGCATTATACTTTTCCTAAATGCATAGTTATCCATCTCCACCATTCCTCTTATCCATTACCAATGTTGTCAAGACTAGAGCGCTGATGGCCCCAGTCTGGTTGAACCACCCTGCCCGCATTGGTTCACCAGGTGAACAAGTTAAGTAAATTAAAAAAAATTAAAATAAAAAAAATTATAAAAAAAAAGAGAAAATTAAGAAAAATGCAAAAAAATAAAAATATTTTTAAAATTTTAAAAATTCTTACAATCAACAGTAAACAAACTTTTTAAGGTATTTTACAAATGGTAAAAGCCCGTGAAATTTAAAAACCGAAAATGCAAAGTAATGGCAAACAATGAAATTCTTTTTTTTTTTGGTATTCAGTTTTACATTTTAAGGGTTTTTACAAATTAAAAAATCCCTTAAAATTAAAATCCTAAAATGCAAAATTAATTGCACAATTTCTATTTTGGTTTTTATTTTTTGCATTTTCAGTTTTACCTTTTAAGGGCTTTTACAATTGAAATTTTAAAAAAATTGAACAAAGAGATTTCTATTTTTTGTTTTTGCCTTAGAGTTTTACAATCAAGGGCTTCTACAAATTTTTTTAATATTGTCGACATTGTATAGATGGAATAGCGAATTACAAAAAACAATTCAAAGGAAATACAAAAGGACGGCCACCGAGGAGGGTGACAAGGGTTTTTACAAATTGTAAGGGCTTTTCCAGTAAACGGTCTCATCGGGCACCACCGGTCAGATCAAAAGGCTTACAGCTCCGTTGGCACATTGAGGATTCAAGATATAGGGCTTACACCTTTTCAGGCTAGAACAAAATTGCAATTTAGGCAATATTTAATCCTAATTGGCATGTCAAAACAGTTTGCAGCAGATTTAGCCTGTTCTAAGCCAAGTCACCTGAAATTAGGATAATATGTATGCTAGTCACAAATTTTAGCTGAACCAATCATATCGGTTCAATTTAAACTTTTCTTTGCTAGCCACTCCCCACAATCGGACCAATCACAGGGCTAGCTAATAACAGACCAGCCACTTTTCCAATTCAATGCCCCTACAGTCTTGATCACACAGAGACAAATTGATCAAACCTTAACAGAAACCAGTTAGTAGTAGTTTCCCACATCAAATGGTCTTCTAAGAAATCAGCAAAAGATAAAATCATAGTTTCTGTGCTTATTATAAACAACATATTATAATAATAATAATTTTTAAGACAGTTGTGAGATCAGCTTTGCTCTGTGGGGCGGAATATTGGATGGTCAAAAAACAATTTACCCATAAAATAAGTGTAGCGTAGATGAGATGTTAAGATGGATGAGTAGCAAAACACAGGCGGGATAGAATTCGAAATGAATACATTCAGGAAAATTTACGTGTGGCACCAAAAGGCGATAAGATGAGAGAGAGTAAACTTAAGTAGGCTCGCTATGTGTTGCACAGACCCAATACAACTCCTATTAGGAGGTGCGAGTTAGTTCAAGTGGAAGGCTCAAAAAGGGCAAGGGGTATGCCCAAAAAGACATGGTTGGATGTAGTGAGAAAAGATATGGAGACTTATGGCCTCACTAAGGGTATCGCCTTTAATAGAGCAAAATGGCATACCAGGATTTGTGTATCGGACCCCAATTAGTTGAAAAAAAGCTTTAAGATGATGAAGACGAGGTGACACCATAAAATAAAAACTACACAGACAAGAGAAGATAGTTGTTATACAGGCATCGTCTTCCCCAACTGTGAACAGTAAAATGGATGAAAAATATCATGGTGCAGACAAAATTGCAGATGTATGCTTCCGTAATGGATGAGCACTAAGAAGCACTTAGGATAAGGGTACATAAAGGCTAATTGATAAATTAAATTAATCATATGCAGTGGTGAATGTGCCCAGCACAAAGAACATTTGTACAAAAGATGGTACCATTATTATGAAGTGATTATTTAATTTATCCTCAAAGAAAAAACAAAGTCATATTCAAGGATAGAACACGGCTTAATAGGAAAGCACAGCTTCTGAAAGAGATAATTACAAGATAATTTTCACAAATTTTCTGATATTCCAATATGATTTTCTTCAAAAGAGTCTATTTTTTTCTTGATGAATTCATTAAATCATAGATCATGCGATTCATTTAGTCACCAGAAACTTCAATATTTACCCTAGCATATAATATTATGCTATCCAGGTAGCCTGCCAGCACAGCTACACGAGATTCATAGGTATAGACCTCATCATCATTGCAGATTTCTAATTTAATGTCTCAAAAGCCGGCTCATTCTTAGTTCCCGCAAAACATGTAAGAAAATCAATAGTATAAAAATCTAGGAAAATTCCATTTTTAACGATTTTACCTAAATCTTTTCTTGCTTGTTCAGTTTTTCCTTGTTCCTGAAGCCTCATGTATCTCTCATGAGCTTTTTGTTTCTCTATTTCTTCTCTGCAAGCAAAGACACATGCATAACAATCAAGATAAGAAAATTCGCCTCTAATTCATCTTTGTGGAATGAGCAATATAAACATGAATCAGATAAGAAAACATTTGACATGCACGATGGTCTTTTTTTTTTCTTTTCGTTTGAAAAGTGGTTGTCATAGATGATGGCTGAAATTGCAATCTTTTAAAATACACTCAAAGACTTGCTATGGAAATATATTGACAAAATTAAGAAGCTGATCTGCAACATTTGTTTGTTATTTCAGAGCAGCCCCAACATGTACAAGATATTCATGCTGCGAAGGATAAAAAACAACAAGATCCTCCGCGATTTGGAAAGCCGAGGCTTTTTGGCAATTTTTAGATAGAGGAAAACAAGATCTGCCAGTCTTGGAAAGCCACTAGAGGTTTGTTCACAATTTTGAGCCAGGATGCCCATTTGAGTGTGGGGAATGTCAGCAGGCTCCAGCTGTACAAAGATAATAAGAATGCCACCTCAATAGATATGACTCCCAAGACGAGCCAATTTGCAAAAGTAATGGACCAAGAGGTAGCAAACCAATACAAGGATAGGGATCAAATTACATCTTTAAGCTTTGATGATGTGGAGCTCAAAGAGAGACAGCCTTGATGATACGGAGCTCAAACAGACTCACAATACATTTGAGACGATTATGACAGAGTATGTGAGAAAGACAGAGGAGGATTTGGTGGTGTCAGGTGCAGATTATGCAATAATGAGGTCAGTGTGTGTGTTGTAATGCAAGGAGAAAGCAAAAGTCAAGCCATCAAGTTGTAATGCATAACAGGCTTGTTTTAAGAGTCTGAGGGAGTACTGTACCACACTTAACATATCCCTAGTCATAACAACAAGAATAAATGTCCCTTGTCATGACTATATGTGATTTGCGTTGGGGTTTGCGGCCTTTAAAGGCCGTGAGAGCATGTAAAAAACATTTATAATGGATTACACTCCAATGGGAGTGTGTATTGTTTGACTAATCAAGGGTTGGACGGTCTATGGCCATCGTCATGTCCAAAACCCTTACCCCTGGGCATCTGGCAATACTGAAAAAGGTTTAAAATTAGTCATCCTTGTTGAGATTGGATAGATGCCCAAGAATGGTTTGTAGTATAGTTGTTGGGATCGGAAGCGGGAACGGTACCGAGATTAGGATCGTGAGCGAGGGATCGTGAAATGCTAGAAGATCCCTATAGTTGGGAAGGTCGTCCGTACAATCCACATGTTGGGGATCAAGATTCTCAAATGTTAGGGATCAAGATACCAACCTTTTGGGGATCTTGATCCCGACCATTTGGGATCTTAATCCCAACTTTTTGGGGATCTTGTTACCAACCTTAAAGTGTATGATAATCTAGGATAATGTATACTCTTCAAAGTAGGGATCTCATTACTGATAGCAAGCAAGCAATAGTTGTGTTGCTAGTTAGCTATAAACAAAGAAAATCATCAGTTTGGTGATTGTCTTGGTCTTTAATGTTGAGATCGAGATCCCTAACAGCAGGAATCGGAATCCCTATCAGTGGGGTTCAAGATCCCAGAATTTCAAAATTGAGATCCCTAAAAGATCCTTTCCAGGAGCGACAGAATCGAAAACTTAGAAGGGATCGCCTACCAAAGTAGGAGATCTCAGTAACTATGATTTTTAAGTCAGGAGAGTTGCGTCGTCATGTGCGAATGTAAGCCAGTGGGAGAGAGGTCAAATCTTCAACAAACTTTCGCACAGCATGTATATATGGCAGCCACATTTCTAGGAAGCATCCTTATAGAAGGCTACACGTACATGTGCATAGAGAGAGTCCCCCTTGTACTGTAGTGACATGTGCTTGACCTCATCTTCGGGGGTGGGGGGCCTATATCCACATTTTGGGACTATGATTCCACTGTTTATTGGCCGGCTTTGACGAGCCAATCATAAGCCCGTGCATGAGATTGTGGGTCGTGGATCTTGTTGGATCGGTTTGAGAAGACAATTGTTGATCATGGTCACAAGGTCAAGTAGAGTGCCCTTTTTGTTACTTGGTTTTTACCCATTAGTACTAATCCACCTCTAGATATTTATTTTATTTTTAGCATCAGAAATGTTTATGTGAATTTTAGATTTTTAAATATTTATTTTCTGCAGTAAAATCCTTTAAAATGGTACTTTTGGTATTTTTCTAAATATTGTTTGCAAGGAAGGGCACATGTGGGGCCCTTGGATCCAGGCCGACCCTCACATTGGTGGGGCGTGGGGCCACATGTCACCCTAGGAGGTGGCACCCCACTCTTTATCTCTTAAAAGTTTGTCTTAAATTAAAGAGGTTTTTAAGTTGGAAAAAGATAATCTTTTAGAAGGAAAGATTATGTTCCTATTTTTGTGGGAGTTGGTTTTGACCAAATTACATTATCTTTGACTTCTTACAATTTTGAGAGAAACACTAGGAAGTTCTAGAAGGTTCTTAATTGGTTTAATCCTATTTTGACTAGAAGTGGGTATGGGTCAAATATTAAGGGGGTAATGTTCAATATTTCTCCATAAATCATAATGGCTGATTTAAAGGTTGGATGGCTCAGATTTGTTTCTCTCACCTCACAAATTTTCTAAATTCCTATTGTTCAAGTTGTGTCATTGTATAGGTATCCCTAAAGGGGGACTCGTAACCTATAAAAGGAGTACACAATTGAGCCTCTCTCTCCTCCATGCCCCCAAAAATTCATCTCTCTCCATCTCAGCGCACGTCACCCAAAAATAAAATAAGGGGGGGTCGGCACGCCAAACCCTTATCTAGGTTTTTATTATTTGGAGAGAGGTAAGCTCAGCCTAAGAGTTTCACTGTTCATGCTATGCCCTAATTTGATCCTAGGGGATTCCTACAAAACCTAGTTGTGTTTTGACGATCTCTAAAACCCTAATTTAAGAGGTATAGCGTATGAAAGCTTCCGTCTCTGAAATTCCAGCAAGATCAATAGGATAAAAAGTGCATCATGGGTCAGGAAATTGGGTGTGAGATGTACTAAGTCTTGTGGTGGCAACCCTAGTCACAATCAAGTAAGCCTTCCCGGCTGTTGTACTTTTATTTTTTAGTCATATTTCCATTTAACGTGATTTTTCAGGAACATATTTTGTACTTAAATTGATAGTAAAAGATTGAATTTTGTTTATGGATTGCGTTTATTTGTTTTGGCAATAAAAGGAAAGGTATTAGGTTGTATTTAGGGTTTTATTTCTATGTACAGCTGTGTGTTGTGGCACTTGTAAGTGAATTCAGTTTCATTAATAAAGACAAGAAGATTTTTTTTTTTTTAATTATCTTGAATTCCACACAGCCACTCCTTTCAATTCGTTCACATTTCGAGTGGTTTGTGGAATTCAAGATTGATAAGGATATGAAGCTACCTGATGGCCATCGAAGGAGATGGAAATTTGTAATTTTTGCAGACCATGCCATGCCATACCATAGAGTTGAAGAAGTGGTTAGCTAAATCAGAAGGGGGCATAGTGAGAAAATATGAAGAAGCATATGATAAGATTATAGTAGCAAATCCAGAAGCCAGAAGCCAGAAGATCCATGAGGATTTTTGGGCCATGGAAGGAGAGGAACAAACATATTATTGAGGAACTACTAATCCACAATGCCAATAAGTGGGTAGACCATCAAAAGAATAATCACTAGGACACTTGAAAGATTCGTTGAACAATATCACACTAGTAAATTTTAAAGATTCAAGATCATTTTGATTTTTAAGACTTTTTGTGAAAAACCAAGCCTTGTGCTAGAGTGATTCCAGGAGAAACAATTTCCTAATTAATAATTCTAAGGCTGAGTTAATGAGAATCTATGGATCATATGGCTTAGGTGGTATCGTCCAATATAAGAATGATGATATATTTGAGACATTACATGGGTCCTAAGAAGTAAAGAGTTAACAACTGCACATGGGAAGAAGCACAAGCTCCGTTATTTTTCCTTTTTACGAGTAGCTCCAATACAGTTCATTGTTGTGTTACAAAGACATGGACATGTGTGTCACTGTCTAACACGGATACATGCATTGGAAAGCCAATCCCAAAAATGGCCTTTAAAATGCGACATGTCCATATACCATTTAGACAAGTAGGAAATAGAATTTTAGGTGACATTAAAGTACACTTTATAGTGAGTTCTCAACAAGAAAGGCTAACAAGAAATGGCCAATTCTAAGGTGTCAAACTCAGGTGTCATATCTTTGGTGTGTCAACAGATGCCAAAAACTGTAGACACTTGTGTCACCAAGCAAGTGAATATCAAGGGTGATTCATTATGCAAAAGGTGCAACTTTTACATAGATGTTTCACTTGCTATGTAGAGACAATGAGCCCAATTAACATCATCTCAAGTGTGGATGAAACTCCGTGGTCAATGTTCTAGCCACAGGGTTGTCAAGGGAGGATTGGGTATGTGGCATACTTTACCACCAAAAGTAAAGAAATGTAATATTTCCATCTTTGCAGTTCCACTTTTTAAGGTAATAATTTCCGATTTCCACCAAAAGATATGATTCAGGGAAATGTGTAATGACTACTATCTATTTTCATCTAAAGGAGTCATTCAGTGGAATTTGCCCCTCCAAATTTGTAAATTGTTTCCAAATCCTGTTTAACATTCAAAAAGAAAAAGAACATGCACATTTTTCACGACATGGAAACACTTGAGAAACCTACAATCCAACATCAAACAACATACATAGAAAATCTAGAATCACCAAGAAGTAAGATGACTCTCAAATGTAAAATAGGCATTATGCAATGGCCATAACAAGCATATCTAACAATAAATAGAAAGGCCAACTTCATGATTTGTAAAGAGCTAAAAAGAGTGACTGTGAAACTTGGAAGGTCGATAAAGATATTCAATTTAAATCAACTACATTATGTTCAGCATCAATGCGCGAAGTCAATTTTCCACAAACATGCAGGAAGAATGAAAGCTTTATTTTTTTCACTACATAAGTGGGAGAAATGGATACCAGTTTTTACAGTTTAAATAATGTATCTCAAGCAAATAAATAAAGTAAAATCTATATCAATAAATGAATAAAACAATACAATTCCACAAACCTTTCACGCCTTGAGAGCTCCGTTGTTTTCTCCACCTACACAATGACATTAGTGTCACTAAACAATTGCAAAGGCACTAAAGTGGACATAAGGACACATAAAAAAGTGCTCCAAACAAAAATATAAATCCGTAGATCCCTCCATTTTCTATCAATATAATCACCTATGCCATATTCCTGGTAGGCAACATCTCAAAAAAAATGTTTCTTAACAATTTATTGAGATAATGTTCTACTTTTTGCTAACAACTAATGTAGCACTGGCAAACCAAAATACGTAAGCTCAAGCCTCAGTATGAAATGCTGTAAATTTGTCACTTGATCCACTGATGACCCAGGTTGGCTAAACCATGATATTGTCAAGGATTTGGTTCACTTTCTTTAAGTATTAAGCCACACCATAAATATATTAATATTACCCTTAGTCCAAATTAAACCTTAACCAGCCCACTGATTAAGCTTCCTTTCGAGTGCTGTACTAATTTTAGTTTTCTGCACTAAATTATTTTAATCAAGAAAAGATCTACTGCTATTGAGCTCCCCAGATGCCACTAGTCATGTCCCCTTTGACCAGCATTTGGCTGCTATGATTATATACCCCACATACCATGTTTGATGTATTAGAAGCTTAACTAATTTGATGCTTCCTTTCTCTCAAAATATAGTTCAAATGGTCCTCACATGAATATAGAAAACAAGCAAAGAATCGACCACACTGTGGGTAGTGAATCCTGCCGACCCATATGAAAAAGTGTGTTGGATATTGTGGCCTTTAAAGGCCTTAGCTCATGTGCTCACCCCCGATATTGAGTGGGAGTTCAGATTGGTCGACCAATGGGCTCCACAAATGAAACAAGCCATTTGAGTGGGCTTTGTGTGATTTAGAGTTGCATGGCATGAGTGACATATTCAAGCGGGCTCTATGGATGTAGAGTGGGCGCAATTACTCTCACCTTGTGTTAAGGTCTATGCCTTGGCTCAAATGAGTGGCTCCACATCCTGGACTGGAAGCTTAAGTGCCTAGATGTATCAATAAAGTGGGTTTATGGGTAACATTCAAGGTTGGTTTCAGTCCAATGATGGATATTATCTCAACACAGGCAGACTTGGGATGGGTTCCTGTGTGTGAGGTAGGCAAACCAAGAATACGTGAGATGGGTCTTCTGTATGAAGGATGGAGGCCTGTGAGGGAAAAGACCTAAAGCCTCAATGCATCATCCCTCACAGCAATGTACACATGATAGCCACACTGACCAAGGATTGGTAGGACCTAGGATGGAATGGAATGCACATGTTGAATTAGGGGAGACCCTCTCCCAATGAATGTTGCGGGTCTAGGATTGACACATTGTCCTTGGGGTAACACGTATAAATATGGTAACTTTGTAGTTCCTCCAGGCCTTGCCGCCTTGGCTGACTTTGATAAGTCAATCACGAGCCCTTGTAATACAGACATGCCGGCCATGGGTATGTTGAGTTTGTTTGAGGTTAATTGTGATTGTAGGGTTAGTCAAGGACTGCCAGTTTGAGAGTTTATTCCATCACATGCACACTCTTTTACCAGAATTTCCCAAAGGATTTGCAAGAGTTTCTTTAGAGAAATAATTGGGTTTTATTTTCTCAAATTAGTCACCACAATTTTGTGTTTCGGAATTGGTTTTTAGAACAAAAGGTATTTCGTCATCATCACCATCTGAGCCTTATCCCAACTATTTGAGGTTGGCTACATATTCCCATTCCGCTAATCTGCTCTATCAAGGGCCACACCATAGTCAAACACAAGTCACTATATCTCTTGTCACTACTTCCATCCATATCCTTTTGGGCCTTCTCATTGCCCCTTTAATGCCCTTCACTTGAACCAAATTGTCCCTCCTAACTGGTGTTGTATTGGGTCTATGTTTCACATGGCCAGCCCACCTAAGTCTATTCCCTCTATAGGGGTGCTTCTTAATAGCACAGTTGTCATATGTGCATGTCGTGTGGAAGTTGTTGAGCCTTTAGTCAATGCTCTCACAAGCCTACAGCCATACACAGGAGACTACACAATTCTCCTAGCCAACACACATCATCCCTGAGCATCTCTCCGACCTCAACAAGAGATGACCCTCTGTAAACCCTTATTAGTAGTGCCACATGCCCAGGGGTAAGGGATTTGGACTTAATCAGTGCCATGAACCCCCCAACCCTTGGTCAGTCAACACACAATCCCACTTAAGTGCATAATTTATATAGATATCATTTTTAACATGCTCTCTAGGCCATTAAAGATCACAAACCCCAACATCATTTTGATAAGGCTAGTGCATTACAATATTTGAATATGGGTTTTGTATTTTTTTGGTATAATATATTATGCTTTGAATCATATGATATTCTTTTTCTTCTTTTTTTTCTTTTATGATATATTTACATGTTTGAAGTTGAAGGATTGCAATGTTTTGTGAGTATTTTCGGGTTTGGACCTATATCGAATTCTTTTTTAGAAAGCTTAGTGCAATACAAAATTTAGATTCGGGCATGATATTTTTTGTATAATTTTTTATGTTTTGATATCCTATTTTTGCTTTTTTACTCTTGTACATGTTTGAAGATGAAATATTTACTTATATTTTGTGAATAGTATGAAACTTTGAATTAAATTGATTTTTTGTGAAGATTGATATCCAAAATCAAAACTTACGGATATTATGTTACGAGAAAAAAATTTCTTGAGCTTTCTTAATATTTCAATTTTTTTTGAAACTGTTCTTAATATTTCAATTTTAAACTTCAATTTTTTTCTTGTGTTTTCTTATCTATCTTGTGTATTTTTCAGGTTTGTTCTGTGATTTGTGAATTACTGTGACTCTTGACTTGTGTAATAAGTCGTGAGTCATGACAATGTCTTCGACTGGATCAAGTAAGCATAGTGATCCGGAGTGGGAAGTATGTATCTTGTCCAAATCCCAACAACAAGAATAGTGTGGAATGTAAGTTTTGCAAGAAATCATATAATGCCGACATTAATAGATTAAAGGTTCACATAGTCGACTGCCATCTTTAGAGGGGATGTGGCCCCATGCACTCAAGTGCCGGCTGAGGTTAGCAGAGAGAAACAAGAAAGAGGTCGTGAGGAAAAGACATGAAGAAATTGTCAGAAGCGTAGATATTTTTGGAGTTCGATAAGGAGGAGACATATATGCTAGCGTTGGGCCTCCTAGTAAACCAATAGAGTCTGTGTATAAGAGGTTCCGATAAAGAGGGCCCATGGATTCTTACTAACCTCACTAATTAACTTTTTGAAGGCCCACAAGGTACTAATAGTTGGAGAAATAAGAGAAATAGAAGCATTAAGAATTTGATGGTGAATTGTCCATTAAGGACAATGTTCTTAACGTCTATTGATACTTATGACAAGTCCCATGATGCAACATTCATTTGTGATTTGGTGAACAAGTGCATAGAGGATGTAGGGGAGCATAAAGTGGTCCAAGTAGTGATCCATATGTACTCAACCAATATGACGGCCACTAGTTTATTGATGAAGAGGAGGCTCTACGTATTTTTTCGTCGCCTTGCACAGCACACTGCATAGACCTCATGCTTGAAGCGATTAGTAAGAGGAAATCAAAGACGACAACCATCAAAAAATAGAAGACTGTCACAATCTATATATGCAGTCACACTCATGAAAGAACATGAGTTGTTTTATACTATGTTTATCCTTTGTTGTTACTTATTTTGATTCTTTTGAGTACACATGTGATGTCATTGTAAGTTTTAGGAAATTTTCTGTTTTGGCCAGGACTTAGCCATGATGAGGAATTTCACCGAGGGTAGAGACATGCTGAGGCTTGAGGTGACTAGATTTGCTACCTCCTACTGGCCCTTGCAATCTTTGTAATAGTAAAAAGAAATGTTGAGGTTCATATTTGTGTTTGAGGACTAGACCAAGTCCACGTGGGCGAAGAAATCACATGGGAAAGTAGTGATGGAGATTGTCATGGACTCACAATTTTGTAATAGGTTTCAATATGCCTTATGCAATGTTCAAGAAGGTGGATGCGGCTGCCTAGGCAGGCATTCAGACACAAAGGTGGCCAGCATTCAGACACAAAGGTGGCCAGCATTGAGGGGAGGGGCAGAGTCTTGTGGAATGTTGGACCCCCCTTCCCCCCCCCCTTTTATTGTATATCGAATTGTTTTTCTATTTAATAAGCAATTGTTAAACTAACTCATAAAAAAAGAAATTTATGGGGATAAAAATTATGGTTTATGAATCATACAATTAAACTCATGAATAAAATTAAAAAAAAAATCATTCAGTTTGGGGGCAATGAACATTTTTCATTGAATTGCTTTCCCAAAGACCCAAACTAAATATCAAAATGGGAAAATAATCCAAATAGTTTTTTTTGGGGTGAATAATAATCCAAATAGTTGATAACATATCAAATATATATCATAAAGTATCAAAAAGAAAATACACAAAGCAAAGAATAACATCATAAGACATTGTGAAAAAATGAAAATACATAACCTAATAAAAAATATCAAAATATACCAACCTTCTTGAAATGGAATCGATATTGGCCAAACCGGAAAGTTTTGGTTCCCAAATCTCCTCTTTCACAACCACTATAAGCCTCAAAAGATAGGGGATTCAAGGAGGTTAAAAAAAAAATTAATCTCTCTACAAATCTTCAAATCCTGTTTTTTTCAAGGTTTTTCTCACTCTAAACCTCACTAAAAACGTTTTGGGGGGCAAGAATGGCCCCCAAAAACCTTTTCCCCTTTTTTTAAGGCGGGGGGGAGGGGCAATGGCGAAATTACCCAAACCTTTCCATCCTCAGTCTCGATTGTTCGAGGTGGCGCCTCAGCGCCTACCTTTTATACCACCTAGTCCACACCTAGGCAGTTTGAGAAAATGGCCACCTAGGCGGCAAGGCGGCTGATTTTTCTTTCATTGGCCTATTGTTTTTTTCAGCCATTAATAAAAGTACTCAAGACGGTTGATGCTGAGAAGGAACCCGCTATAGGTCACATTTATAAAGCTACAAAGGATGCAAAGGAAGAGATAAAGAAATTTTTGGTAATGATGATCTAAGTATGGGCCATATCTAAAGATTATGGAAGATAACCAGCTTGAGAGACCCCTACACTTAGCAAGGTACTACCTTAACCCTGTTCACTTTTATAATGATCATAGCATACATAGCAAGACTTAATTCTAAACTTAGCAAGGTACTACCTTAACCCTGTTCACTTTTATAATGATCACGTCATACATAGCAAGACTAAATTCATGGAAGCATTCAACGAATGCAGTATCAAACTTAACCCTAATCATGAGGTCCAGGGCAAGGTAACGGAGTTAGAAAAGTATAGGCCCTCTATTGGGTCTCTTGTAATAAGGCCAAGGAACAAGATCTCTCCTAGTGAGTTTAAAACTTCTTCATTTTGATTTCATGATTTGAGCATTAAATTTAAATTATATAGATACCTCATTTACAGCATTTACATTTATGTGAAATAGCTGCACAGTGGATGGGACCTGGGGGAAGGACCCCCAATTTGCGGCACATGACGATGCGTACACTGAATCTGATTTGTAGCTCGTCGGGATATGAGCACAACTTCAGCACATTTGAAATGGTAATATTACTTAATACTTACATACTATAATAGTTAGTCAGTTAGTCTAGTAGGTTAACCTATATTATGTTTTTCTAAATTTTAATTGTTCATTCAAATTTTATCTAATAAGTGCATGCAAAGAAGAGGAACAGACTTGAGCAAAAGTGACTGAACGACCTAGTCTTCGTTTTGTATAATCAATCGCTGCAAGAGAGCCATCAACAACTGGAGCACAATGAAAGGGAGGCTATTGAAGCTAACGATATCGATGATACTTACGAATGGCTAATTAATGCTGAGGAAGATGAGGTCTCCATGGAGAGGGCTTGACTTAGGGCCATGAGGCTGCTGAGACAACATTGAGCCCTGTGCGAACCACTCAGTCTCAATCTCAATCCCAAAGGAAGGGGAAGGGGACAGCAAAGGAGAAGTGGAAGAGGTCGATGGGATTGAGAGAGGAGGATGAAGCAGATTCCGAAGAAACAAGGGATGATGCTCAATATGTTGACGAGGGTGATGACTCTGATGACGATGTCATGTCATCATCATCATCAGATTCTACTCAGGAAGGGCCAGATGAACACTCCGAGTGGTGATGAGTGATGACATAAATTTGTTTTTGCCTTTTGATGGTTGACTTATCAATTAGGATATTTTTTATAAAATAACAATTGAGTTTAATGCAATTTGATGATATCTATGTCTCACACTCTCACTGTCTTTGTAATTTTCTATATTTTTTAATCTCTGGGAGCTTTGGGCTCTACAATTTCCCTAAGAACTCCTTTTTTTTAATCTCTAGAAAAATTGGAAATCCACATAACCATACCAACAAAGCACCATCCGGCCCCACAGCTCCACTTAATAACATTCAATGGTACCATTAAGTAGGCAACCCACAATCTGACTCCTTGAGTGTGTACCTCAGCAACTGAAGCATCCATATTTCCAAATAGCCAGCATAAAGTATGAAGAAAGTATCCTTATCATCTCTGAGAACTAATCCTTAAATTGAAGGCATAACCTTTAAAAAGAGAAAAAAATAAAATAAAAACATGAGAAAAGCATTGAAGTCAAAACTCAGTTTAATCAATGAAGTTTGCAAAAAGTTTGCTTACCTTCTTGACACTCTACTCCAAATCAGTCTTCAAAGTTTAGGCAGCCCGGGCGCCTAGGTGGCTCAGGCAGGGCCCCGAACCGCAGGGGCCTAGGAGCGTGCCTATGCAGCTACGCACCTAGGCGCCCAAGGCCCAACTAGAGGCCTGGACATGAGTAAAGCCTGGTTGACAGACTAGGTAAAGGTGTCAAGGAGATAGAGACTGCATTAAATCTGAGAAGATTAACACCTAGGAAAGAGAGAGAGAGAGAGAGAGAGAGAGACTGCATGAAATGTGAGGAGAGAGGTGAAGTATTAATAAAGAAACATGAGACAGTGGAGCGAGACTGCATCAAATATGCATTAAATTGGAGAAAGGGAGAGAGATGGGGTATTATTAAGGAAAAAGAATGGAAGGACGGTGAGTGCATAGGTGTCAATCTCCTGCATTAAATTTGAGAGAGTTGCATTAAATTTGAGGAAAGAGAGAAATGGGGGTATTATTAAAGAAGCAGCATGAAGGCAGTGGAAAAAGAATGCATTACATGGGGAGAGGGTGTGGAAGAGAGATAGGGTATTATTTAAGAAGCATGACATGATGGTGAGTTAAAGTTGTCAATTACATTAACATGTGCAGAGCGATTTTTTTTCTTCTTCTCTTTTTTTTTTGGTGTTTTGTGGAGGCCTGAAGCTCTTCTGCGTGTCAAAGAAAATGACATCTTTTTAAACGCAGACCCCCATTCTTATTGCCATCTTCTTCTCATTCTGCCCCAACAACCATTTTCAACCTTTGGGCCGCCGAACCACTGGCCACCTAGGCTGTTGAATCCAAATTTTTCAACACTGCTCCAAATGAAAGACCAAATTGTGGAAGCACACAAATGAAGACATTAATTAGTGGTCTCCACCTCTCCACTGATGATCTGCCTGAAGGTTCAGACAGTAGAATTGTCCTTACATGGTAATACTCCATAAATACCCCACAGACTCTTACTTCAACACTAAGTTGATGAGAACCATATCCTTCAGATCTCATTTGCTCAATAATCAAAGTGTTGTGGCAATATGTATGCAATTTAGTTTCAGATTGTGGGGGCAACCAATTTTGGTTTTCAAACTCTCAAATTTCCTGATATAATATTAGGTCTATGAATCCCAGCAGAGGTAACTTGTCAAATGATCATCCAATAGATGGATAGAGAGAAAAGTGAGAAGCAATAATTCAAATCAAAATAGCTTCGGAGCTCAGTAGTAAAACAAATAAGGGCTATGTGAAGAAATATCACATATTACAAGCAGCACTCCATGTGTATGACTGCAAATAACACGCAGTCTTTGCAAGTTGTCAATGTGCAAAGCACATGGGTCTCATGACATATTAAGCACATGTTTAAGCGCACACATTGCTGTTTCTGAATAAGCAATATACAGTGAATGGATTCATGCTCATAATATACAAACAAATTTCCCTCTTACTCAGTATGCATTCCTATATTTATCCAGAAAATCATAATGTCTTCACATGTATTTCCTTTTAATATTCCAAGTTCCATAACTATCAGAGAACCATATCCACTTGGGAAGCAATGTCAAACAACAACAGAATATGTGAAACAGGGTTACATCATGATGTTGGATCAAACCAATTTGTGCATCTAAAGAACCACAACATACTTCTCAACTCTATTAATGTGTATAAAGATCCTTAATATTTTCATCCTTTCTGCAAACTAGAAGTTCTTTAACGGAAACCCATCTAGGCTACAATCAAACAAAGAAACCCATCAAGGCAATATACAGAGAGAACGTAACTAAATATTCACAAGGTGCTTAATTTTGAGAAGACATGACTTACATCAACATCTCTCGCTTTGATAGATTTTGGTTTCACCAAGTTAGGGTTATCAATCTCAATGACACCTTGTGCTCCTTTTCTTTTCTGCAAGCATTCAGAACAAGTTAGGAATACCAAGTATGACCATCTAATATAAAAATACAATAAAACGCCTCTAATTCAACAAAGTAACATCTCTGTTAACCCTAAATGTTAATGGTACAGCCCTGACCTCGGTTCCTTCTTCGGATTCCTCTTCTGATTCCTCTTCTACCTCTTCTTCAGACTCTTCTTCCTGGTAATGTTTAAGAACAAAAAATAATCCTCTTATATCAAACTCAGGAAAAAAAAAACAGAGCGAACACATTTATGGCATCCAGAAGGGAAGGTGACACCATTTTAAAAATGCATATTAATTACTCTCCTTTTAGTAATAAGCATCTAAGTTGAGCCATGAAATAAAACAGCACAATCATAAAATAGAAAGTTGGATAGGGGATAATCTGAATAAATATAATTCTCCAATCATGAAAGAAATGTAATTTCTCAATCAACAAATTATCTGATTACTACACAAATCTCCAGAGGTACCACGCACACCAGCCCAAAGGCTGGTGTCGGGTGTCGAACATTGACATGTGTTGAGACTCCTGTGACATGGAGAGTGCATTAAAAGAAAACAGAACTCACTCCTTGGTCAGAACCAGAGAACTGTTGAACCGAAATCATGTGCTTTACCACTTGCCCATCCTCCGATTTATGGTTAAATTGGGAAAACTTTATTAGTTGTTTGGGCTGCATTACTAGATGTTTGGGCCGAGATAAAATTATGACATTTATAACAAACCAACACACGTACTGGTCTCCATGTAACATTGCATATTCCAAGAATAAACAACTATGACATTTATAACATACTACTCTTACTGGTCTCCTTGTAACCCTGCATATTTCAAGAATAAGTTTGCCCCAAGAATGTTCCTTGCGCTAGCAAAAAGAACAGAAAACACTCTGAATCCAACATAACTGACATAACTTACAATGATATGAAAATAATTTCCCATTTATCACATTTTATGATCAGCACACATATGTCAAGAATCAGTTTACCAATTGTGCCCGCCCCTCTTTTCTTACAGCCAGTCTCCAAATTCCTCATCCCCCACTCAATACTTATGTATCATTTGATCCAATGATTCAAAACTCGGCTGAGTCCAAGTTACTAAGACTCCGCTCCTTGCTGAGCCAAGTACTCAGGTCCAACTCAAGCCACCTAAAAAACTAAACTAAAAAAATAACTAATATATAAAACTATGGAATCAATGTATAAAAATTATGTATGTCATTTGGATTCTTTATACAATGTTTTGCGAGTTTTCCCTTATCATATGCCCTATCTTTATATTTTTCCCCTTTTTGTGGATTTCTATAAAATATCTCCAAACATAGATCAATTTTTTCTAAGTCCATACTTTATAATCTTTTAGCTTTCTTGGACTTTTTATGTTGCCTTTGGTTTTGTTTCAGTTTTGCAATTTTTATTTTATTTTTAAAAAAAAAATTGAAATTTTTATTTTTTAGGGTATTTTTATCTTTGACTTGCTCAAAGCAAGTTAAAATACACTGATTTGATCAATGTAGACTTTTTAATGATTTTTTTAGTCGAATTCAACGTGATTGGTTCTTCTCTTTTTCCCCAAATGTGTTCTTTCCCTTCTCTGGCAGTGGTCAGCTGAAGAAGAAAATTCAAAAGCTATTTTTTCAGTTCACCTCACTAAAATGGCCTCATGCTCTTAAATAGTAGCAACCCAACATAGGGCATCAATCAAAACTCACCGTAAGAGTATGTATGACACCCACGGGAGAAGTAACTCATGGAAAGACACAAAGGGCCAGCATCGCTTCTGAATACAACAAATTAATATATGCATACCACTATCATGTGCCTAGTTCGATGGACAATTGTCTAGGAAAAGTTAAGTTACTAAAGGAGGTTTCTAACTCAAACAAGGACATTTAGTCAGTAGAAATAACTCAGGAGTGTAACCAATCATCACTTGTATGGTGAAACGCCCAAATGACCAAAAGGCCCTAGCATGGATGAGAGCTAATTGGGGCAAAATATAAGAGGATGTGCACAAATAGAGACAAGAAAAAGTGCATTTTCAAAACTACCCCAAAAGAAAAAACAGACGCATATGAAAACAAATATACATTTGTATGCTATAACAAAAGCTGATGCATTTGCTTCAGATGGACAGGGCACCATGACAGACGTAATCACATGGTCTAGAGATTCCTAGAAATGACCTGTGGGCATGAATGAGGGACACGACATCATATTCCTAACATCAAGTTAGTACAGGTGGGAGAGTGGTGATATTACTTGATGTGGCTAAAAGGTATGGGCTCAAATTGACGAGAAATACCCACAATTCATGTTTATTTCCTTACCTGCACTTTCCAAGTAAGCCTTCTCTTATCCTTCACTCTTGGGGCTTAAATTTATATTGCTTTTCCATGTCCCTTATTTGATTAATCCCAGTTCAGCAGTACACAAAGTTCAATGGAAATTTCACTTCCAACCTACCATGGACTTCAACTATGGTTCTCAGATTCCCACTTGACATTCCCTCTTTCCACCAACTACCAATGATCTCAATTATACAAGTTCAAACACATTTTAATTCCAATGTGGGCTTCCAATTAATAGCAATATCTAATTCACCTTGCTCAAGATCCAATATCGAGTAGAAAATATTATAACAAAAGACAGCATGAGTGACAACAAGATGTAAAGCTCTCAGTCTTACATTGATGAAAATGTATGTAGGTACAACTTGCTTGGGTATTCAGAAGCAAAACCTATGGTTGACTGAGAATGGACGGATGAGGATCTAAAAGCACCACTCCCAAAGATGGGAGACTTCACATCAGCAACACCAATAATATTAAAAAATATGACAATGAACAACAACATAAACAACAGATATTACTATGAAAACAATAATAGTAATCGTTTTTTTCTTTGATTGGTAACAATAATAGTAACATTTCCTTATATGGTACAGTGAATCACGCACTAATGCAACCAGAATTACCAAGTATGGTTGAAGTTTATTCAAGAGTATAGACACAAAGAGGATGTACACAAGAGACAAAAGAACAAGGAAAAGAGAGAAAGAGAGAGAGAGAAAGAGAACAAGCCAGGTATAAAGGAGCCTCCAAAGGTAAATATGGTTTCTCAACCCACTTCCTCCTTAGACAAGCAATCAGATTCTTAAGTTTGCGAAGATATGAGAAGAAGAAATCAGGGTCCACCAAAGTTAGGTGGATGATATCCTCCACAAGGTCCACTACACTCCAACAAACTTCTTGTGTAGCCCACCTAATTATTATGAACAGGTCATTATATACCATCAGGGAGCCTAGAAGCATGAAGGAAAACATGTAAGGCCATTCACAAGATGCAGTCACTTCCCACATTAGTCAAGAGTCAAGATACAGGGGACAAGAACACCTTTCACACATTTCTAGCACAATATTTGAAAGTGCTCCCTAACCCTGTTGAACAGAGGTTTCTAAAGGAGCTTCTACCAAAATTAAGCTTTAGAGAGCCCATTTGAGGAGATGGCAGCATCCCCAGTATCTGATAAGGTCATAAGCCCCAATTCTTTGGAGTCCCCAAGACTACAACTTCCTAAATGGAAAGATAGCAACACTGTAAAAACCAAACAAGTCCATAATCTTAGGAAGATCATGTAGAAGCCCCGAAGGATGGCTAGAAGGCAGAGCTTCCACAAAGAACCCTCTCTTGTATGGTCCATGTAGGGGATGCATAGCATCAAAAGAAACCCACCAAAATGACATCACCCAACTCACCCTCAAGAGATCAAAGCAAAAGCTCCACATTTCCCTAGAAAAAGGGTAACAAATAAGATGATAGTCCAACAATTATTTGAATTCACTAGACATTTATGGATAATTTTCAGGAAGCCTTGGCCGTAGATTCCAGTTATCAGAAAGTGAAAGCTGTGAGAGAAGCAGTGATGCCCTGGATAAGTCAAGTTTGCCATGTCTAGGCCCTGATAATCACCCACAAGAGCAAGCTAAAGAAATACTTAATCAAATAACCCAGATCAGAATACCAAAGACAAAAAACCCCAAAAAAAACAGATTACTATTAACCGAGATTCACTTTTCAAATAAAGATAACTGATCCAGCAGCGCTTGTCAAACTTTCCATCTCTAAGATTCCTCCTGAAACAAGGACACCGCAAACCTTCCAGGCACTCAACTCAAAAGAATCCTAATCAGAATAGTTAGAGTTGGATACGAGGGGCAAGCCTGCATAGATGCTTTCCCATGCATTAGTTTAGTTTAACCTGTGCTCTCTCATTCACTTTGGGCCTAGCCCTTCACTAAACTTCACCTAATTGCTCCTCCACACGCCTAACACTCTGGAGATCCAGCCAAGATCTATCAATCAAAACTGCAAAATGCTCATTTGTTGGAGATCTTCTCTTCACTTGAAAGGAATGTGTAAGCTCCCAATTTGCAATCCTAGCCATAAATCTTCTTTGATGGTTGATGGTTTAGCGCCAAGGTATGTAAATGGGAAACACTGACTATGTCAAGTAATTCAATGACCATGGAAATATTGAAAGGATGCATAAATCTTGTTTTAATGTGCCTCACAATATATGCTTTTCGAAACATTTGTTACATATTTTTAAGGCATTTATTTTGAAGCAGTTTCAATTCTAACTACAGATTCATTTTTTATGGATCCAAAGAGATTAAGATAGGAAGATTATCTTTAGGAATCGGAAGAAATCATTTCATTTCTAATCAATATTTTTCTATTTTCTTTTTTCTTAGGGGGAAGGGGAAGAAGGTTTGGCTATGGTTTGGCTATGTACTCCATCGTAAATATTTCTCTATTATGTAATATTTTATTAGGATATGGTTGTGTAAGCATAGGTAAAAATTAATAGGATTTCTTTTTTTTCCTTGGCTGTTGTGTTTTGCATGAAGGCCAAATAGTTGGGTTTCAGTTCTATTGCTTCTATATTGGATAAAGAAAAGGAGAGAGAACAACTGATGTTTTTAGGTCTTGCGGAAAGATCTTTAAAGGTGCTCTTCCTTGCAGGTCTAAAGAGAGAGAGAGAGACAAGCCAAATGTTTTAAACTTTGGGTGGACTATCACGCAGACCCAGAAAAATGATATTGTAACTCAATCCCAACTTATTCTCAGTTTTTTACTTTCTTCTATAAACAAAAGATTTATGCATTTCATATAATGCATTAGAAAGGATTTGTATATCTTCTTGACTGTTCAACACTATCAATTGTAAATGGTAACACTGAGCACTGATTGTTTCAAGTAGTCTAATTTACTGATGACTAACGAAGAAAAACTCCTAGCTTCACATTAAGGAAAATACTGCCCTTGTGTAACATAAATATCTCAAGATCGCACTAGAAACAAGCAGGAAATCTTAACGTAACGCAGGTCTATGCAAACTGCAACCTTGACCGCAAGTGAATTGACAGGAGACCCCTACCAATAAGAAAATCATATTTCAGGCTATCAGAAAAGCCAAAATGGATAAAATGGACACTTCAAAAGTGGTCAACATCATTAGTCCTTAGTTTTTTAGTGTCCATTGTAATAAAATTTCAGAAGAATCTCCCCTTGATCGAAGTCAATTTTCAGTAACTAATTTGGGAATACTCTTTAATCCAGTTAACCCCTAAAGGTTTAGGTCTGGTTTCAGAGTTATAGGAGAGAGATTAAAATTAAATATAACAGAAAGTACAAGGGACTTCAAGGCACAAAACGGTCTTTCTTTTAAGTGTTCAACACCCCTGACTCGGAGAAGTTCACAAGAAGCAACAGGTCATAGGAAGCACATTCCTAGGATACAACAGGCCCGACAGAAACTGTCACAAGATCTCCAAGTTGCAATCTTGATAATTTTTAAAATCACAGCTCTTCTTGAGTTTTTAAAATCAAATCCTTAGAGATTTCGACAACCTTTGATTTTACACCAATTTTGTGAAAACCACCTTATGATTCTTAGAATATACCCCCCTTAAAAATTTCCTTGTTTTAAAAAATTTGAAAGCAGAGCATACGGAATTACAATCTATTAAAAGAGATAAGAGGTTCCATCTGAAAAGAGAGAGCATGCAGCCTTGCAAAACCATGTCAACCTTTGAAGATAACATGTGGAAGGTTAAAAAAGGAGATTATGTCCCCCTTAAAGAAACAAACTAGACATGCGTATATCACCAAGAGGGGGTCCAAATGACCCCCTCTACTATAGCTCACAGCAAATAAGCCCTGTTTGCTCACGACAAATAAGCTTGGCTCGCTTCCGGCAAACATGATTTAGCCATGGCAGTTTTCTTTTAAATTAGAATGGTCTGCAGGAAGTGGATCGTGGTCTGACAATAAAGATAAATCATTAGGCAAACTACAAATGGCATGTATGCCAACAGTGTCGATCATCCCTTTGCATGCACACACGCATCACACAATTCCATTCTTCAAGAAATTGTCTCAACAAAACATGAAAACCCAAAATTTGTTTTGAAACACAGCTTACACAAAATATAACATTAACGAGATCGGCATCCCCACAAATTAAATCCAATAATAATACAAAAATAGAATAAGCATTGCTGATCTCCAGTTGCCATTTGGGAAATAACATGTGAAATCGAAAGCTCCTCGATGCAAATAGGCAACATGGAAAAAAAATATCAAGGAGAACCAGGACATGACCATACATATTTTCCAAAGCCTTCCTACAACCTTAATGAGTATAGTAGTAAACCTGTCTAAAAGTGCGAGGTCGGGTAGAGGTTCCAGCAACTGCAATGTTAAAAACAAGATAACAAAGTGAGGTAAATTGGATAAAACACAGAATAATGACAAGACAAGACATGCAGCGCATATTGTCATTAAAATAGTATTTGGACTCATCCAACTGCACAGTCTTTTCTCTTTTATCATTAATGACATGAATGCTCATGATGTAAAGCAGCATTTAGATGGCCAAGAAGACCATTAATTTGGCAAGCAAGGACATTTACTATCATGGAGAAGAGGAAATCTCGATAAATGCAAAATACTTGAGCCCAGTGATAGTTATTCTAAAGATAGACGTAGTGGGAAGTAAGCAGCAAGCCAAGAGAACAATAACTACCTTTGCTTACTCTACTTCACAAAAATAACTTAAATAATAGAATAAAATCATGCCTAAAGCTAGAATTAATTTTTTTATTTTTTTGATAAGTGAATCAAACTTGATCGTACATGCATAATGCACCAACAAAAGAAATTGAGCTTATTAATCATTGTTCAATGGCTTCACGGTCAAGTTTATCTTTTGGGGAACCAGAGTTTCATAATCACAATTCCTATCCATTTTTAAACCACTTGGGGTGTCCAACAAACCACTTTAAAATGTAGTTGAGATGGATTTCATTCAGTCCTAGAGTAGTAACAAGTAAGTATGGTTTTGGTTTCAATTGGAAGGCCTTTGGTTGGTCAACATGACATCTGCACTTTGGAGGAAGATTGCATGCATAGAAGTGTTCATGAAGGACATATTTAAAGATGAGATAGGACCCAAGTCTTTTTTTTGTGTCTGACTTCTGTTTGTTTTTCCCTCTTATTATTTTTCTCCCCCCCCCCCCCCCCCTCCGGTCTGGTTGCTCGCATCTAGAGAAAATAGTCATGGAACTGTAGTTACCAGCACACAGTCTATCATATCCCATTTTGTTACAAATCTTAGGAATAGCTCGATAAGTTAGAGATCGTCTTTGGCTATGATAGAGTCTGTTTAAATACTTTCTAATGGTAGATTATCTAGTTTCTTATGTATTTAGTTGTAGTTATCAAACCTCTAGTACTGTATTGTGATCTTTTTGGTCCATTCTCCATCAGACCTGTGCCCACACATTACACGGTAGCAGGGCTAAAAGCTTTTAGTTGTTTTGGGAGGCACAAGCACCATCCATTGGACTACTTTGAATTCTTATCCAACAACAACAAGATTCATCTTCAACACTATGGCTTCCAACCCTTGGACATCTGTAGAGTGCTTAGAGAAGTGGATGACATCCATGGACCATTGTTCTAGCATTAGACCTTCACTATATTTTTTGGAGTTTCTCAGTTGACTTGGTGGGGGTTTTCTATGTTATGCCACTGTCGGTTTTATACAATTAAGCATTGCATCTAGTGTCTCCGAGGATGAAGACTTTCGAATTTGCGTCTTGTAGTCATCATCTGTGTTCTCAAGGAGGTCAAGAAAAGCCATACCTGGAAGTCAAGAAAAGCCATACTTTTGATATGTATATGTATATATATATATATATATATATGTACATAAATGTATGTATGTATGTATGTATGTATATATATATGTATGTATGTATGTATTTTTTTTCTGTAAGACTACAGTATTAGATCGCAAGACCTTGTAAAGGGTGAGAAATAGAGGACCCCACTCAAGCTCTTCTATGAGAATCTAAAGCTTAACTATGTCACTGGCTATTTGAAGAAACCAACTTATAAGGTGTGAGTCATCATATAAGGCCTCCAAGACATGAATAAATAATTGTGCTCAAGGCAAGTGAGATTTTGTGCCTCAATCGTGGCAGAAAAACTTACTACTTCTCACTAGGCTTAAAGTGGCAGAGCAATTATCCCCTCACTTGCTCATAGTTGAAGGCAATTTGCTCTTCTTTTAGGATAACATTTCTTCCAGCATTTAAAAAGCTAACAAGGCCAAGTCGGCTTCCAGAGTCTTGAATTGCTTTCGTGAATCTAGCCAAACCCGGCAAAAACAGAGTATTTAAAATTACCCAAAAATGCGAAAATTTAAGTGATATTCACCGTATGACCTTAAGACTGTCAAAAATAAACCCTAAGCATATGTTGGGGTTAGGCTTCACATCAGTAGATATGAAACCTGCCAAGTAGGTTTGAAACAAAACAAAAATTTGAATTCTTTATTTTTTTAAAATACGTTGATGAATCTCAAAATTTGTTTTTGGATATAAGAGAGTGATAAAAAATAGGCCCTGGGAGCCAAATTTGGGGCTGAAATAGCCTTATATGATCTCCCAAATAGTATATTATAGCCTGCACTTTTCGGTGGATGAAAATAACCCAGAAAAAGGTCAGACTCGATTGGGAAGCGACCCCAGTTTGTCAGAAAATTAGCCGATTCACTGGCCCTATTAGCTGCCCGATTCAGAGAACTCCAGACTAGGGGCCCAACAAGTCCAAGTGACTCAAGAAAAACTAAGCATAACTCGGCCAATTTTTTAAATATTAAGCTTGACAATAGATATTCTGATCCAATTTTATGGTTTATGTATTATCAAGGGTACAACCCCCGTAAAGAGACTATAATTGTTCACCAAATTGTGCACGTCAATACGTAGTAAAAAAATTGCTAATCATCAGAAGAATAAAGATATTGGACATTTGTACCGAGGAAATATCCTTATTATTCATAATTTCGTATGTTTCTATCTAAAGACCAAGATGTAGTTGATCAAACTTCTTTGTCAATAGGATATTTGTGTGCTTAGATCAGTGCTGAAAAATTCACCGAGTCCAACTCAGACTAGACCGAGCCGCTAATGGCAAGCCATGAAACCCCCTACTCCCCTCAAGGAGCACTTAAGGTTGCAATAGCCCAGCCAATATCTGTTTGAAATGCAACAAGTTCCTAACAGATTCGCCGTCTGTCGGGACTTGCGGAGTATAGTCGTATTTACAGCTTAAAGGAAAGGTGGGGACCTAAGATCCTCTCTGTACAGTTACCTTCAACCAATCTTCAAAATGACCTGGCATTTTGTGTCTAGGGTTGTTTTTGCATCCTCTATCCATTGTTTTTCAGATTCAAGAGAAAACTCAAATCTCACATATTTGAGAGGTAGAAATTCTCTATCTAGGCTTCGGCCGAAGTTCAAACCTTGTGAATTCTGTGCAACCCTATCTCAATCTTGGTTGGAATTTGTTGCCTAAGCCTATTTTTGAGTTCTTTATCAAATCATAGCTTATTTCTCACCAAAAAAAACCAATTAAACATCTCAAGTTTATGGGAACTTGAAAATTGAAACACTATTTTCCCTAAAATTTCAAGAGCTCGGATCAACTAGTTCCAACCTTGAATTCCGAATCTAGCTTAGGGGTTTCGATTTGCGGTATTTGAGGACCCTTTGACAAAGATAAGCACCAAGTGCAAATATTTGAGGATTACCATCAAAATTTCAAGTTTCATTTAGTTTAAATTCATAAGTATGAAAAAAAAAAATCACTCAAGGAAAATCTTAGCTATTATTGTATTTTATTGCGCTCTCAAAAAACAAATGAGAATTCAATTTTTATTTTCATTTCCACGTATAGAGAGAGACTTTTTGCACATATATGAAGATAATATATTTAGGCATTCATAATGTCGGTTTAAAAAAAATGTCTATTCGAGGATAGCAATTAGGATTCTTATAGATTTTTTATGCATTCAACATATTACCTCTCATAGGTTCAGCAAATCAATTCATATTTTGATGCCTAAAAGGATATTTTTCTATAGATGTATTATCATAATAATAGTATTCTTTTTTAACTTAATGTTGGCATGTTGCTAATGGAATATCTTCAAAGGTTTTTTTACTTTTTAGTGCGCGTAGTATGCCTAAATAGTTTCCAAAGTAGCATTTCCTATCAAGAACTCAGTGATTTGACCTCTCTTATATTTTGCCCCCTAGCGACCGGGGGTTGGCATGGCGTGGAGTGCGCATATTGTGGGAAGGAGATGTCAGAAGGTAACCATCACTTAAAACATCATCTTGCCAAAGATTAGGGCGATGTGGCATAAGGCTTGAGTTATTATTATGCCGGACTGTGAAAGGGACAGTCATCCACTCCTGCAGATCTCTCCAAGAGAGTCAACATCGGAAACTTTTGTTTAGGATGATTGGTTCGAGAGGATAATATAGTTCAGGTGATTACAGATAATGCAAAGAACTACATCAAAGCATGGAAGTTGCTCATGAGAAAAAGCACTAAACCTGTTAAATTGCTAACTGCATAGACCTCATGTTAAAAGCAATCAATGAATTGAAGCAAGTGAAGGGCTAGGTTGAGAATGGAAAGCCTATAACAAAATCCATGTACAATCACTCCTGCATCCCTAGCCTAATGAGGCTGCACTGCGAAAAGCTACCACTAGATTTGCGACGTCATACTTCACTATGAAGTCGATCACGAAGTTGCAATTGAGATTGAAGTGGATGGTAACATCTAAGCAATGGGTTTTGCACATCTCTAGAAGTCAACCTGCAAGTTTAAGTCAAAGGAGTTATTGACAACTACAAGTTTTGTGATAAGTGTGAGCAAATTGCCATTGTCGCTGCCCAACAATCCTAAAGTTGGTTGACCCAAACAGTGGAGCTTGTCATGGAATTCTTGTAGGAGGCACTGGATCGTGAAAAGCAAGGTATACAAACCCATTGCAAATACCACAACAAAGTTTATAAGATCAATGATGAGAAGTGGGATAGCACATTGCACTACCATATCCTTAAAACAACTAGCTTACCTCAAGTTTCAACATATATTTAGTTTTTAACTTGGGATTTTTATGTGCCTTGTGGGTTATGGCCTAATTGACCTGGTCATTTATATCAATGTATTCAGGTTTCTTCTTTAACCCAGCGTATCACTTCAAATGGGCCAGAGAGAACACCTAGAAATCATTAAATGGAAGTAGTGCATTAGAAGATTAAAGCGAGATGAGGACAAATCCAAAATGAAGCCTTGAGAGAGGTAAAAAATCTTGTTTAAAATGTTAACCACTGATGATCTTTAGCTTGTTGTAGCTTGTAAAGCAAAAATCTGTACTTTGTTCTTTTAGCTTGCTTTATATATTGATACACAAGACAAATATGGGTTAAATCTCACAAGTCGCACACAGTACCTAGGTCAGCTTTCAAATCCCATAAGTTGGAATTCATAACTCATAGAGTATTATATTACAACTAGTCTGTGTGATTGGATTCATGTTTAACCAAATTATCTTCTCTCTTTCAATGAGATGGTAGGAGATACATGGACACGACACCCCTCACTTACAAAGGACCATAGATGCTATCCTAGGCCAAACTTATTCTGTTGTGCAGTACAAGAAAAAAACTTGACTACATTTTAAGCTGAGGAAAAGGCGGCTGAGGAGGAAAGTGAAGAATCACGATCCAATTAGCTTGGATTACCTATTTGAGGAAGATTATGATGGTGGAAAAAAAAGAACTGGTCATCAACGCGAGAGTTATTTAAGAATTAGTAAATACAGAGCCAAAGAAGAAGCAATGAGAGGGGGGTGTTGAGGAGACTTAGAATGAGGCACAGCTAGAGTAAAATGATGGGCAAGATGTAAGGGTTCTAAGGAGAGACAAGGTAATGAGCACTAGGGCGAAGGGGGTGGTGAACACAGGGGCTGGAATAGCCTTGGCAAATTTGAATTAGGGTGGCACAGCTAGAGTAAAATGATGGGCAAGATGTAAGGGCTCTAAGGAGAGACAAGGAAATGAGCACTAGGGGTGGTGAGCACAGGACCTGGAATAGCCTTGGCAAATTGGAATTAGGGGCTTCCCATCCCACCATATCCGAGATGTTTAAGAGGGTACCCTTCCCTGACACTCAAGATGGTTATGAGTTATGACCCTCTATAATGTTCCTATTTGAGTTAGAGTGTGTACTGATATATTAATGTATTGGTGTGCCTTTTGTATCTTTATGTTTCTCTGATTCTGCAAGAGTATGACTTCTATAATTGTGTGACTATCACTCTACAGTTTATATGGTTGTTGTATATAATTAACGTGATCTTTACTCTATAATACGAAGTGGGAACCTGAGAAATGATGGGATTCCTTTGAGTCCGCACTAGAAATTTAGAAATTATAGTACAATCACATGTTACATTAATTATCACATAATTTCAGCTAGTGCAAGCCAATAAAATATTTTTTATCATTTTCCATTTTAAATATATATATCATGAATTTTTAAAAACGTAAAAATTATTTAAAATTCATTTGTTGGTAAAATTCATTTGTTGGGAGAAGGAGATTTTTCATGACAACTCAACCAATAGAGTGGACTTTTCAAGCCAACTCACTCGAGACCCATGGCAAGTTCCGAAGCAATTCGGAGTTCACCACCCCTGATTTAGATAGATTGAGAGGATGTAGATAGACAGAAAATATCATGTAACATCACTAGAAACGGGGATCATCAGAGTCTAATGTGTATAACATGGGGATCCATGATCCAACTAAGGCAAGAGTGTTGTGATGAAAATCAGGATGTGGGCTTTGTGGCATCAGCCCTTTCAAGAAAGCAGCTAGTTGGTTTACCACCGTCACTTGAAAACGTCCTAAACGTCCTAAGGCCAACTACGTTATTGAAGCAACGATACCTTAAAATATGCCTAGGACCAGCTATAAGGGATAGATAAAATGATTGAGTATAAAAACTAATTGAAGACATCCCTCGTTAATAAATACCACACACTTCAAATTAAATTTCAACAATGGAGCTTCACAATTCCAAAGCAATAACAGTTAAACAATACCACAACTTCACAAGAAAAATATGATTTTCATTGGCAATTGGCAAATCAATAAGAGGGAATATGCTGTTAGTGACAAATTAGTTGTTACAATTATCCAAAAAAAATTACTAATCGTAATTATTTTTCACAGATAATGGCTACAAAATTCACAACTTCAAGTAAACAAATATATTTTAAAAAACCCAGATATTGACATGCTCCTTACACAGTAGCTGTCTTACATAATTCAATCAAGGTTTTAACTCAGCTCGGGCCTTCGATTCTGCCCTGGTCCAAGCCGAGTTACACGCCCCACTTCGAGTGGACTCGACCAAGTCCCTCACTTATGAGCACAAAACTGGCCCAAATATCCATAAAAATTTAAAATTTGTCGAAAAAAAATTAAAAATAGGAAAAACTAAAATAAGTAGTGGAAATCATTAAAAGCCTACAAAAAGTGAAATAAGTATATAAAAGGTGGATGATTAAAAAATTGATTTATAGCTTGAAATATTCTAGAAAATAAAAAAAGGGAATAAAAAATTAGGGCATATAATAAGAAAAGTTTACAAATCATCACAAAAAAACACTAAGAAGCATATTTCTAAATCATTAATTGGGGATTCTTTAACCAAATTTTTTAATCTTTTAAGTTTTAAAGTTAACTTAAGAACGGCGGGTTTCGCTTGGAAACTTGCCTCAGCAGGCTTCTGAGTCTGAGTTACTCCGCCTCAGACTCGGCCAAGATTTAATGCCAAATTGAATCCTTTATGGAGCCAATCAATCATAACAGAAACGAAATTACGAATCAAACAGAAACACAAAAGCTAATTCACCGATGCAACATATAACACTTCCAAATATGTTAATTTTTTGAGGATCTAGATCGACACCAGATGAACCAATAGAAATAGCGCAACAATAATCACTCTAAAAAATATATGAAATAACAAGCTTTTGGGAGTCGTTAGAGATAAAGAAGAACGTACGCATCTCTTCAGGAGTGGAGAAGTGCCTGCGGCCCGTGGGCTTCCCCTTAAATTTTCCCCTCCCCATAACTCAGCCTTCGCGTGCGATGAAAGCTTATCTGCAACGAAGACAATGATGATAACGAAGGAAGAGGGAGAGAGACAGAGAGGGTTTTGGAGTTTGCGTTAGAAACCCTACCCAAGCTTTTGGAGCAGGAGGGAAAACGTTATGAGCCGTACTTGAATTCTCGGGGAATTTGGATTATTACCGGCAACAAGGAACGAGCGTATTTATTTAATTCATTCAACATTAAGAACGCTCTTTTGGCGGACAGGTGCCGTGGTCCGCCTCCCCCATATTGGGACCGTAGGTCATTCGCCCATTTGCCTTGGTTTCCGCGTCAAAAACATAAAAACTTAAAAAGTGTTGAGAATGGGTTGGATCGGGTCGGTTCCACCCAAAAATCTGATCCGAAAAGTATGTATAGAATTGGATTAAGATCTAATCGGATATGTAATATTTAGATCCAGATATGGATTTGGATTCGGATCCAAACAAATTATTTTATAACATATAACAAAAAATATAATATAACATGTGAAAAATTATACAATGAGGCCATTTATCTTTAGTACAAGGTGGTCACAATTAATCTTGACCATTAGATGTGAAATTAGATGGCTACAATTATTCCATCGACCAAGCTCAAACGTAAAAGGAAATTTGCTCGAACTTTGGGACGCACCCAAGCTATCATATTTGACTTTGACATTATATGGTTGTACACAATTGTGACCACCTTATATAAAAGATAAATGGTCTCATTGTATACAATCCCAATTCATATATGCATATATAAAAAACAATATATTATATATAGTGAGTCGAGGCTCTAAACAATCAAAGTGAAACACACCTTCAAATAGTATTGAGAAATGTGGTTTCAATACTGGAAATCTTTGTAATAGCCTTAAAATATATTTTTATCTCTAAGTATAAAATTTAAAGGTTCAAAAATAGTGTAGATCAAGTAGATCTATGAAAACTTTGAAATCTTGAAAATTGACGGTTTGAATATGCATTACAAGATGCAATATTTCCAATTTTTGAAATCTACTTTTTTCTCATGTTCATGCATCTTGAGGTCGAGATGATCAATTTGATGATATTTAGGCATCAAAACAACCTCTTTTAGTGAAATTTTTGTTGTGCACTCTAATTTAATTGTTTTGAGCTTAGGCTCTATATAAACTTTTTCCATTATATATTAATAATTGGGTTAAATTTGGATCGGATCCACTATACCAGTATCAAATATGAATTACTATTCAGATCCAAAGTGTGGATTCATCCTGGGTCCAATTAGGATCCATAATTCAGGTTTCGAACCCAGGTAACCTTACATAAAAATTTGAAAAGCAGCTTTCTTAGGAGAGGAGATACCGTGATGGGGACTCATCTATTTTAAGATAAAAATAACATATAATATAAAATCAAGACATAAAACACCCTCCTAATGTAAGGGCCTTTAAATTTTGGAGATATAGTTATAGTTATAGAAACTTTTTGATGGCATAAAAATCTATTTTTATCTCGTATTATAAAATTTAAAATTCATAAAATGGTATAGATTGAGCATATCTATAAGGGTGTGGTTTTTATAGAGCCGAGGCGCTAAACAATCAAAGTAAAGTGCACCTTCAAATAGTGTCAACCAATATGGTTTCAATACTAAAATCATCGTAATAGCCTTAAAATATATTTTTATTTGTACTTGTAAATTTTGAAGCTTCGAATTAGTGTAGATCAAGTAGATCTATGAAAACTTGAAAATCTTGAAAGTTGATGGTCAAAAAATGAATCACAATATTCAGTATTTCTAAAACTTGAAATCCATTTTTTTCTCATATCCATGCATTTTGATCTCAAGATGATTAATTTGAGAATATTTGGGTACCAAAACAACCTGTTCTAGTGAAATTTTCGAGATGCCTCCTAATTCGATTGTTTAGAGTCTCGCACTTTTATACAGTTTTTATTTTTATTATTGGCTGGAGACTTTCCATTGATATTACAATTATAACAAGGGAAATGACCTTGTGAGACCCTCCCACACCCATGTGTGTAAGACCCCAAATGATCACCATTAAATTTGACACATGTCTCTAAAAAAGTTAAGTCCCACACCATGCGATAACTTTTCTAGATATCTATGCCAAATTTAATGGTGATCCTTTAGGGTCCTACACACATGAGTGTAGGAGGGTCTCATATGATCATTACTCTTATAACAAATAAAAAAGGGTAAATGTCCTCCAACCCCAATCGAACTGCCACTACGAACTATTACCTAAACTGTAGGGTTTTCGGGAACCCCTAGCTTGCAGAGCCGGGAATCCCAAACACCAAGATTCCACCCAATATCGCGTACTCAATTGGCCAAATGCGAAGTAGATGAATACAACTATAAATCTAGTGTGAAATAAAGCAAATATAAAAAGCATACCACAACAACACATGATTTACGTGGTTCACTTCGTAGGGCTACATCCACGGCTTCGACAACTAGAAATCAACTATCACAATGAAGATTACAGTTTTGGGTTATAAGAGATAATACCTATCTCTAAATATTGGTAAAAGACCATCACCGATTTTCCCTTCTAAACCCGCTCTTCAGACCGAGCAACACTGTCGATCAACATCATTTTTCTTACCGCAATACATCTACCGGAAAGATAATCTTGAGAACAAGCAAGAGACTTTATCTCTCTAAAAGTGAAAATTAACCAACCCAAAACTCATAAGAGTACCGCCTCTCTCTCGGAGGCCATTTCTCTCTCTCTTGGAGACCCATCTCGATATTGGAGATCCATTCCCATAACCCCCAAAGCGGTGACCTTCAAATGATGGGTATTATGTCCTCATTCACTCTCTTATAAAAAATTATATTCTTGCTTCCCAAGAAAGTCAAAATTTTATTTCCTATAATACCCTAATCTTTAAAAAAAAAAAATGTGTATAGTGATTTAACTACCACCAAACCCAACAATCTCCACCTTGATAGCAAAATCACCATAATTTCCTTGACAATCTTTATTGAATATATTTCTTTATACTTGTCTCCATTGTGGATTTTTCACGAACACTTTACCTTCATATTTCTGCACCTCAAACTATGGATATTTCTTGATTTATTTTCACTTGCCTCCGTTATGGAATTTTCACAAACACTTTGCCTTCATATTTCTCCACTTCAAACCATGGATATTTCTTGATTTATTTTCACTTGCCTCCATTGTGGAATTTCATAAACATTTTGCCTTCGTATTTCTCCACCTCAAACCATATATCCATAAAACTTCGTTATTCCTCTTTTTCTTAATATAAACCTTAGCCCCGTACACATATTGTGCTCTGATACCAATTGTAGGGTTCTCGGGAACCCCTTAGCTTGCGGAACCCAGAATCCCAAACACCGGGATCCCACTCAAGATCGTGTACTCAATTGGCCAGATGCGAAATAGTCGAGTACAACTATAAATCGAATGTGAGAAATAAAGCAAAAATAAAAAGCACACCACAACAACACACGATTTACGTGGTTCATCCCATAGGGCTACATCCACGGCCTCGGCAACTAGAAATCCATTATCACAATGAAAATTACAGTTTTTTGTTACAAGAGATAATACCTATTTTTAAACATCGGTAAAAGACCATCACCGATCTTTCCTTCTAAACCCGCTCTCCATACCGAGCAACACCATCGATCAACATTTTTTAAAAATTAGGATTTCAAATTTTTAAAATAATGTATATTGCAACAAATCATCTAAACCATCTAATTTTCCCTAAAAATAAGTGTTTACAAATCAGCAATATCCATACCATGTTTTGAATTTATAATTTTATTGTCGGTATTGAAAATTAATTTCAGAGCCATCATGAAGATTTCCAATGCCGAAAGTGCTTTCCGAATGAGGTTTTGAGGTGAGGCTTTATTTTGTTTTCATAAAACCTAGGCACTATGGAAACTTCATCCATGAAAGAAAATGTTGGGAAGGAAATAATGTCTTGGAATAGGGGAGATCTCATAAAGTTATTAAATGAATCAAATGACTGGAAGATTATTTTTAAGTTTCATTTCATATAAACATCTCTCTAGAAAAGTTGTTCAAGAATTCGAAGTTACCTCAATTAGAGTTCGGAATACAGAACAATCGGCAGCATTTTGGTAATTTTTATTGATTTAAGTGACTCGGACTAAATTACAAATTCCACTATAGATGTTCAAATTTGGGAAAATGAACCTGCCAATTGATCAAAATATCCCTGGTCGTTCAAGTTTAGCAATATCAAACCATGCATTTTTGTCATTTCATATTAATGTGTTCCTGACCTTTTATTTTTGTAATTTGGATAGAGTTATTTTTGTAATTTGGATGGAGTTAATTAAGTGGGCCAATTTATCAAAATAGCCTTAGTTGTTCAGGCTTCCCTTCCCAAGCCTAAATAGGGATAATTCGAGAAGTTCTGAACAGATTTTTTGAGCATGCACTTTTATGAAATAAAACTTAAAATATAACCCTTCAGTAATAAATGAGATCTCTTGATCCCTTTAAGTAATTTTGTGAGGTAATTTTGAGCATGTTTTCCCAATAAAAAAAAATATGTTAGATATAACATTTACGTCAAAGAATGATGAGTGTTGCTGCTGCTAGCTATTAACAGCAATCTCCACCTCCTGTCGGAATGGGCTCAAGGCTTTCACCTTTTCATGACTTGCTTCAAGAATATCCCACATTATGGCTCCCAGTCTCCACGGAGGTTTTGAAGTGCTTAAGAAAATATTGATCCAGATTGGGAATTGCCGATTTGGATCAGGAATTGATGGGACCCACCTAGTTTCTAGTCAAAACTGAGGATCAACTTGGTTTTGATAGACTCACCCAGTTTTAGTAGAGAATTAGCCTAGTATGGAAATGAATAAGTCATTTAGATTGGTCGAATCATTGGTTCTCACCTATTTTATTTTCTAAAAATTTTAAATTTTATTTTGAAAGAAAAATTATTATTTAAATTTTTATGGATGGATTCTCACACCAAAGAAATGGTCTGATGTTGCTGAATCAGTGATCAAAATCAATCCAATGGGATGTATCCGCATTTTAAAACGGAAATGTATATAATGACACCATTTACTTTTGTTGTAAGGAGGTCACAATCATCATCAACCGTTAGATTTGAGATCAGGTAG